CATGCCTTTCAACTTTTTTTAAAACCATTGATGACGTATTGTCTGCACTGGTACCCGCAAGCTATGCTGCTAAACTCTTGCAAAAAGTGATTAACACAACGAGGGCAGAGCCAACACACATGTTAGCAATGGAACGGAGCTGAACTACATGTACATGTACATGTGTAAGCTATTACTCGCAGTTTCAAACTTTCATGGCTATCCACCAATCCTCAGATATCAAGCCCATTTACAGTCCATTTCAAAACTATAGACGCGTACTAGTAACTAGGCAAAAACCGTGATGCCAGCATCTATACCACATAAAATCTGTGATCACTTTGTGCATAACATTTTCCGAATTGGGCATCTGTTATCCAATCGTTTAGAAACTATATGAGAGTAATTGTGGAGCGAACCTGAGCAATATTCCGAAAACTAACGTTATTCTCAAAAAGCTCCAGCCAATTTTGAAATATTTCAAGAACCCTACGCGTCTATAGTTTTCAAATGGGCTGTAATACATGTACGTTTAAAGTACATGTAATTTCAATGCACTTCACGGAGAATTTCAAAGTACCGGGAAATTAGAGGCTACATGCCTCGTACTGCTCTTTTCTTATCTGGCTTACAAGTGTTGAGTTTCGGAGAAAAAAGAACAGTGCGACTCAACGAGTCATGGGGCCTCTAATTTCCTAAAGTACTTGTAAGTAAATTCTTGTGTCCGTTCCCGAAGGGAACTCACGACGGCTGCTAACAGCCGGTAAACATATTCTGTTCTCGAGGTTCGTGGTTTCTCGTATAAAAAAAAGAAACTGGCGACAGATGCAGCGTCTAACGGTAGGGGTGAGTGGAAAAGTCTCACAACCACTGGCACAAGTAGGCAGACTAAAACACTCAAAGTCCGAGTTACAGCTTACTGGTATAGTGTTCCACTGAATGTCAACAAAAACGGAATCTGAGCACAAAATGAGGAGGGGGCGGGGAGCCGCTGAGACCCGATGCGGCTAACACACCGGAAAATAGAGTGATAGAATAGCCGCGTGCCTTCCCATCACTACAACTCTGCACTTTCCCTACAGGAAGAAGTGGGGAGACTAAAACACTCAAAGTCCGAGTTAGAACTTACTGGTACAGTGTTCCACTGAATGTCAACAAAAACGGAATCTGAGCACGAAATGGGAAGGGGGCGGGGAGCGGCTGCGACCAGATGCGGCTAACACAACGGAACATACAGTGATAGAACAGACGCGTGCTTTCCTACCACTACAACTCTGCACTTTCCCCACCGGAAGGAGTGCATGTAATAATACCATTCATACGTTTGAGGGGAAGTTTTCCAAGGGAAAAGGCTGAAGAAAAAATTGACCGTCCCAACCAGGGTTCAAACCAGGACCTTCGCTCATGCCAGTCATATCCACCGCCCAGCCATGCTCTACCAGTAAGCTATGGTGTAGTCGTCATCCAAGCAGTGACCACTCGCTCAGCACCTTCTTCACACATCGAAACGTAATATTAATGTTTATGATAATTAAAAAAGAAGAAATCACATGGAAACGAGTTATGAACTAACTACTGCACAAGTAGAATTTTTCACGAAATCTTTCGAATTCGATCACTCGACCAGCAGGCTTGTTACGTACTAAATTTCGTTCTTGGTCGAGGTCTGTCACCCCGAACGTTGAGAAAAAACCTTTAGTTTGGTACATGTACAAATTTTAGTTATCTCGTGCCCCTAACGAATATAGGGAAAGTTAAAGGGGAAGTATACCCTAAAATCAAATTTTCACCAGTTGTAGTGTTCGGGGTGCTGAGTCGAATGGTCTTGGTCCGAGGAAGCTGAGACGCTCCCTTCCTACTTGAATCCCAATCGAACTCGCGCACTTCCACCGAAACTGGGTGACTGCGCCCTACGAGATGGGGATTTGTATGCAAAATGTCACTAAAAGCGCCATTTCGTTCTTATAAAAGCACGGATAACCGCGATTGGCCCATATGTTGTAGTCTTTTGGACGCTGAGTCGACTGGTTTTGGTCCGAAAAGGCTGCGATGCAGCGTTCCTCCTTTATTCCCAATCGAACATGGTTGAACAAGCGGTCACGTGCTCCTGCGTACACCAGTCAGCTGGTCACCGTGCCTGCAGGGTACAACTTACTAGCCTGTTTGACCTTTTTTGGGTGCAGTCCTGTCACTCGAGTTGAACTCGAGTTGAACCTTGGTGTGAAAGTTGTCGCCTGCTGGCGCGGTGACCAGGTGATTTGGGCACCCAGGAGCACGTGACCGCTTCTTCAACCATGTTCGATTGGGAATAAAGGAGGAACGCTGCATCGCAGCCTTTTCGGACCAAAACCAGTCGACTCAGCGTCCAAAAGACTACAACATATGGGCCAATCGCGGTCATCCGTGCTTTTATAAGAACGAAATGGCGCTTTTAGTGACATTTTGCATACAAATCCCCATCTCGTAGGGCGCAGTCACCCAGTTTCGGTGGAAGTGCGCGAGTTCGATTGGGATTCAAGTAGGAAGGGAGCGTCGCAGCTTCCTCGGACCAAGACCATTCGACTCAGCACCCAGAAGACTACAACTGGTGAAAATTTGATTTTAGGGTATACTTCCCCTTTAATTCCAAACGAAAATTTGTACTTATACAGTATCCACGACTGTAAGAAGATAAAAAGCAGTCAGAAAGTGCGATAACATTAACAGGGCATACAATTGACAGGCTACTGAGACATTCAACGACCTGAGACCTGGTTATCGCACTTTCCGACTGCTTTTTATCTTGTTACAGTGTGGATAGTTGCTTCATAACTCATTTCCATGAGATTTCATCTTTAAAAAAATATTATATTTACTGGCTCACTATCCGAGCTAAATATTATGATAATCCTCATTTCAGGACAACCCAAAGGCTAACTAACGCCTATCGAGGATATACATAGTATACATGTACATGTGCATGGGCCTACACAAGTACATGTACATACATGTACTTGATTGTACATGTAGAACTCGATAGCACTCAATCTCCATAACCCGAATGTACATACATGTTAACTGGTTTGAGGGAAAGAGACAAACGGGAAAAGTCTGGAGAAAAAATTGACGTACATACATGTATATGTACATTTATTTTTACAGAATGCACCTACTGATACCATACTACCATAACAAAGAGAGGAGAAGAAGAAGACAAAAGAAAAATGATCGAGACAACAAAGGAGAAAGACAGTCAATGTACTAGTGCTCTCAGGGAGCCTGTGCCGGTGAGGCGGGACTAGCAACGCCGACCTAGGATTATCATAATATTTAGCTCGGATAGTGAGCCAGTAAATATAATTAAAATAGATGAAATCACATGGAAACGAGTTATGAAGCAACTATCCACGACTGTAACAAGATAAAAAGCAGTCCAGCGCACCATGGACGGGATTACGAAACGCATGTAAATAGATACATGTAAGTGAGGGGGAGGGAGCTGATTCTGGATATATGGGGTGTTACAGCGAGTCTGTAGTATGGGGTGTTACAGCGAGTCTGTAGTATGGGGTGTTACAGCGAGTTGTTAGTATGGGGTGTTACAGCGAGTCTTTAGTATGGGGTGTTACAGCGAGTTGTTGTTGTTGCTGTTGTTGTTGTGTTTATTTTAATTCGCAAACCAACCGGGCAGATCTGCCCAATGAAAAGGTGGCGAATGCAGATAGAAAGCAGTAATAAATGAAATTGGGGACTGATGTAATAATATGGATAGAGGTGGAGAAAAACTAAGCCAGCTGATCATCAAACAGGACGTTTGGTACTCTAGGTACTAAGGGTGTGCGGGATCATGCTGGCGCGGAACTGGCGGAGCGTGGAGATGGCACTTACATGAATATCGCTGGGTAAGGTGTTCCACAGCTGGGTGCCCCGGAACGCGTGGCAACCCTTGCCGAACCTGGTGCAAACTGGCGGTTGGCGTAGACCCATGGTGGAGTGCAACCTAGTTGAGCCAGCTGACGAAGGAACTAGGAGGGCTTGAAGATCAGAACTTGCGTGCCCATTCCGAGATCTCCACAGTCTGTAGCCCAATACCAGCGGCTTTGTCGTAGGTGCTGATGCACCATGCCCTTGAACGACTGGAGGGACGTCAGGCGTGGCGGAGATTGCAGCACAGTTAGGGGCAAGTTGTTCCACTCGTAAATGATGCTGTAAGGGAAGCAGCGTCGCACGCAATCAGGAGAGGAAGCCGGGAGGACGTTTTGTAGCTGAGACTCGTGGCGCATCGAGTGGTCGGCCCGTGTTCGAGGACATTTTCGTGGAGGAAGCTGTGGGGGGACCAGCGACGTTAGTTGCGGTGGCCCTGCCAGACACATCAGTTTATTCATATAGCTGAGGGCGGCGACCAATCTCCTTGCTGCCCAACTCTGGAGGAGGATATCAGGGCCAAGAATGTGTAGGGCGCGTCTCTGCACTCGATCGAGAAGGCGCAGATGGCTTGAAGCTGCTCCCATCCATACCAATGGCGCATACTCTAGGACTGGCCTCACACAACCTCTGTAGACGATTCGTTTACCAGCACCATCGAGAACGCGAGTACATGTACATGCTATCCGTAGATTGAGTATACATCATATACACATCATGTACCTGTACAGTGCGAAGGCCAGTGACGATGCACTTTTAATGTGCACATGGGTTTAATAGGTAGGTAGGTAGGTACATTTTTATTTGAATTCGCAGAACCAAACGGGCGGTGTCGCCCAATTACATGGAAGCGAATGGAAACAGTAAAATATTGTAGGAAATAGCCTAACATGATAGCAGGGTGTAGTACAAAGCAAAGAACGCTCAGTCAATGAATAACGTTAACGTTAGAATACAACAACGGGGAGGCGGTAAACAGCACATGACTGGTACTGTGGAGTACCGCAAACGTTCAAAGATTCCTGTGGTGTTCAGTAGTGGGTGCTACTGCTAGCAAGACAGAACGGGAGGCAGGCTTGTTTGAACTGGTGGTACTGGGTAATACCACGCACGTCGGATGGCAGGGTGTTCCATAAAATGGAATAGGCGGAGTGTTTGTGGAGGAAGGAAGTCAGATATGCAGGTCGATTTGTCGCACGTCTGCAATCGATCTGCGCCTTGGATTCCTAGGACACGAGTCCCGTGGGGTAAGCTGGCATGTATTTCAAATAGTTCCACCCGTATTTTTACAGGTCTGGAAAGTGTCTGTACACATGTATCCTATTATAAGAGACTGTGGAGAAGAGGCATGACCCATTAGCATTGATATTGCCGCCAGACACACTTTGGCATTGGTCTTGTCTTTTGCCAGTAGCTCCATTGTATTCTTCACTAGCTGGACTATAAGTGACGAGAGGCCGTTTCCAACTTTGTCACCGTTTCGTTCCCAGAATTTCGCACCAGATCTAATTTGGTGGCATTACATGTAGACATGGTGCTGACGTGCCGACCAGAGAGGTGGGTGATGGGTGAGAGGTGGGTGATGAAACAAATAGCTCTGGTAGCTCTCATCTGCGTTATCAAATCGATCTCTGCCTCAAATCCTGCCACTGCATTAAATGGACGGGACCAAGGAGATAGCAGCCCTCTGCGAACCCGGTACGTTTATGAATACCCTAAACGTAATGCGGTGCATGATACTGATCACCTTCGCTTTCGTCCGACTCCTTCCACAACTCTGTTCCTCCAGCCAGAACGATCTCGCCTCACTGAGCATATCGTCAGTCTGCGCTTTCGCAGGGTGGAGGGCATATCCGGATTCAGAGTGGACGACCTAATCGCAATGGATACTGAAGCCGTAGTGATCTTGTGGAGACATATTGCCACGCTGGCGTATCCTGGGTTAAGCAAGAAGTGTCGGAGCCTACATGGCTTCACACCTTCTTTGGCCACGTCACCATCCAGGCAGGATTTGATCATCCACAATTTCGGGCCGTGGGACGAGTGCAACGTAATGTACGTTTGGCGAGACATGACGCTACGAAAGGTAGTGTCACGTGAAGCACATACTAGTAGTGCTAGCTACAGATACCTACAGTCGATAGTGACACTTGCTGACACAGATGACGATGAAAAAAGCTATTGGATTTTAGCTTACGGAGAACTTCTTTGCAACAACAACAGAACCAAATGGGAAGGGAGCACTGACGACTTTATGAAATCTTGCAAAGTGGCATCACGTCTTCGACGGGTGCGTATTCACACCACGAAGGACGGTAGTATAACAATAGGAACCTGGGAAGTTGTGGCTGAAGCCCAGTCCCCCGTGCGACCTGGTCCAATTCTTCTCCCGTCTCTGGTTGTGTGGAACAACACGCTGATCCTTCATGGAGGTTTGACGAAAACAAAAGGATACAGTATAATGGCCTGGGAGAATCGAAAGATTTTCTGCACGCTCTGGATGTTCGACTTACACACGCGCAGATGGACGCGGCACCAGCATGTTATTAACGCCTGTCTTCTGGTCAGTATGCAGCCGTCAGTAACTGGCCTAATGTTTCAACGTCCACGAGCTGTACTGTTTGGAAACCAGTCGCAGATTCTCATCCACTTCTTGCAGGGCTCGTACCTATGCAGTCTAAGCAGTTCTTCAAGTGATACTCCCCAATGTCGACTGGCTGTGTCACGTAAGAATACAAGGACACCGGAGATTGGGCAATTCTACGCCGTCAGCGCAACTTCGGGTGCCTTCTACGGGATAGGGAAACAAGTGTTTAGCTTGACAGTGAAGACGTCGCTGGAAATTCCTGTGAAAGGCTTGCTTTCAGTCGTGGGACATGAGTTCGTGGAGAATAATATTTACGCATCACCCTCGCAGGATCTTCAATTTCCCGGACAACTTGGTTGCCTGACACCCACACCAGTTGTTCAAGGTCGAGGTGGTCAGGAGCGCGTCATGTTTTTCCCAACATCGAAATGTTTTCTTGAAACTGAGCGGAAGGTTCCAGAGTGGCACGCAGGGCTCTATGACTGGACACCCGTTGTGTGGACTCTGACCGTGGAGGCAGATGAGTACGAGATCATGGCTATGAGGAATTGCGACAGCAAATTGTTCGAGAGTGCTTCATCAACGAGTCTGTCCATTCGGACCGCCATTCTGTTCGGATATGGATACACAACTATTGACACTTTGGCCGAGACCTCCATCACTTGGTGTATAGGAATTGATCATAATACATGCGATGAATTTGTGGACAAGGGGAAGGCAGGATCTCCGTCGATGCGGTATGAGCACGTTGCGGTTCGTCTTGACGACAGACGTCTTCTTGTTTACGGTGGAAGAGAGAGGAGCACAGCTCTCCCGCTATCCGACGTTTGGATTTTGCATCTGACACACGATGACCGCTGCGAAGGCGCATGGAAGAAAGTCCAGCCGCACAGTATTGTGGGGGGTCCTCTGGCAATGCGCTACGGTCATGCGGCCATGACACATGGAGATTTGCACTACGTGTTCGGCGGTCACGTTCGTCCCGACGTTTGCAGCCAATATCTCACAGTTCTCAGGGTGGTGATGAGCAACAGCACAGAAACCCTGCGAGTACGGCGTATCCCGCTAACGTCATGCGTGCTGACCAGACGCTACGCCACCCTAACACGGTACAACCAGAACGGATTGTTAGTATTCGGAGGGGATAAGGCTACACTGTCACAACTCATTCTGTTGAACTTCAGCTCTATGCATACAGTGGCAAAACTACTACCACTTTTCACTCATAGCCGCATACGTAAACATCACGTAGTAAGAGGAGAAAAACTGTATTTGTTCGGCGGAACGGATGGCTCTACCAGCATCGCGGTGGGATCTAGGCAGAAGTATAGGACGATAACTGAGGGTCTTTGTCCGAGAGGCTATCAGCTGTTGAACGCAAACTGCCAGCCATGCCAGAGGGGAGCATTCTCGGATTCGCTGGATAGCGGGTGCAGGCCGTGTCCGAACTTTACGACCAGCGAAGCGGAAGGCTCGGAAGCTTGCATTGCTCCGTCTCCCTGCCGCGGTCAGCTGTGCAGCGAGCATGGTGTGTGCGTGGTAGACAACAACCTGATACCTGTGTGTCACTGCAACTTCGGCTTCGTGCAATACGATAACTGTCGCGTGCCACTAGTCAGCCTATCCATTGCGACTGCAATCCTCCTGTTTGTGTCGGCCATTGCTCTCGCTACCCGAAAGTACCACAACAGAAACCAGCAACTCAAGCTCAAGGAGAGAGAACTGCGGGACAAACACAAGAGTATGCGACTGTATCAGAAGAAGCTAGACCAAATCAACATCGGGGCCAGAATACAGTGGACATCGCTCAACCGCACCAAGAAACTGGCCAGGGGCTCCTTCTCGCAAGTGTGGCTAGCAGAGTTCAGCGACATGTTGGTAGCTGTGAAAGTACTACCAAAATATTCAGGTAGAAACATTTCGCTGACTGATCACTTTATCCAAGAAGCTGAAGTCCTGCGTTCAATTCGTCATCCTAATATCGTCATATTCCTGGGAGCCGGCACTGATCACGCAAGTAAACGACCGTTTCTCGTCATGGAGTACTTGCGGCGAGGCTCGCTCTATCACGTGCTCCATGACAGAGACAATGTCTTCACACATCACGATCGCTTGAGGTTCGCCCTGGACACTGCCCGCGGTATGGCATATCTGCACGGTTCCAACCCTCCACGTCTGCACAGAGACCTGAAGTCTCCCAACCTGCTAGTCAGCGACAAGTGGGTGGTGAAAATCGGAGACCTGGGCACGTCACGGTTCATGGCGATTCTAGATCCTGACAAGGCTGACAACCAGACGACCCACAGTGCAGATGTCGCGACCCCAACAACTACCCTCACGGATACACAAGGCGATGAAAATCTGCTTGCTGAGGCAGCCGAACAGATTCCAACTGAACCTGCGCGTATCGTGACAAGCAACTCCGGGAATCCGGGGGTGAATACAGAACAAGAGGAAACCAGTCTGACAACTCCTTTGCTCACGGACATCTCTACAAACCATGGTGAGACGTACCAGCGCTATTCTGCATCGGTGATGACCCGTGAAGTGGGTACACTGAGATGGAAATCACCCGAGACCGTGCGGGGAGAGCATTACAACGAGAAAGCCGACGTATACAGGTAGGCCTCTGATCGGCTAAGCTTAATTTTAATAATTTATTTACTCCCACCACCACACTCCATTATTCACTTCATTTGCTGGAAAACGTGGATTTTATCGAAAAAGAAGAAGCAGCAAAAAGTCCTGTAGCGTTTCTTGCATGTCGTGTATGTGTCGCATACTGGCAGTCATTTTGCTCTGGTGTCCACATGCATTGTGTCACGATCACGATCTAAGCAAAATAAAGTCATAGACAAAGATGTGAAGCCACTCTGTTGTCACTTTATTCCAGCACAGACGCTTCACACTGTACAGTAATTAACTTAACGGTGGAGGGAAGATATCTCAGACGAATATTCTGAAGTATTTTCACGGTTCAAGCGGGGTTCAGTCAGACGGACTTGTTCGCATCCAGAGTAACACCACCACCCTCAAGGAAAACGGGTAAAGGGCAGTTGCAGATCCTAAAGCCATGAGCGATGAGTAGATCAAACCCACCACGGTGGTCAAAGACCGAAAATCCCGTTCGCTGCAAGAATGTTTCCTCGTCTCAGGTCACGTGTTCCCAATAACCGATAACTGTAGGTCGCAGCACAGCTGGAAGAATTCTTGCCCTTCACGCAGGACGTGAAACGAGTGTCCTTGTTTGTCAGTGATGGTCTTAGATCATCCCACCATGCCTGCCTGACTGCCTGCCTATCTCACAGCCACTACTCGTAGTATCCATCAGAATATACTGTCTTGTCTCGTTCATGTTAATTTAAGTGGTCCGGTTTTCCACCGTGGTGTTATATAGGCCCCGTTGTCCTTCAGTTTGTCTATTTGTTTTTCTGTCAGTCCGGCTGTCTGTCCGTCCGTCTGGTTGTCTGTAAGTTTGTTTTCTGTCGGTCTGCTTTTCTGTCTGTCTGTCTGGGTTTGGAAAGAACTTAATATACATACGATGATACACCAGCACAGGTCCAGACAAGGGATTTGTGAACTGCAACGGAGAATAGTCGCACCACACAACAGGAGCAAAACCCGACTGATTGATACTGATGTACGAACGTTTCGACGATTGTCTTCTTCAGAATATTAAAAAAATTATTACTTTTCTCAAGGAGACAATCGGCTTAACGTAACGTCTGTTTTTCTCTATATTTCCCTTTCTCCCAAACATTCTCTCATCATTCTCTCCTCTAACGTTCTCTCTCTTCTCGTGTGATGTTTTGTTCCGGATTTGTCACTTCCTGCACAGCTTTGGCGTGGTGCTGTGGGAGATATTCACTCGCCAAACACCGTATGTCCATCTTAAGGGCGAAGGAGAGGTGGAGGCAGCAATCGCCCGTGGCCACCAGCTGCCACTGCCACCTGGCATGCCATACGACTATCGTCACCTGGTGGAAGCGTGCCTGCGACCCACCGCCACGGAACGACCAAATTTCAGTGAAATCCCCCACGACCTTGAGACCCAGCAAGCTAACGCCTGACGGACATTTGCACACAGTACACAGAGTACATTGTACGTACACCAGCGCACAGTGTATAAGAAACACAATTACTACTACTACCGTACATGTATGTTTGTAGATTCTTTTTAGATTCTTGTTCAACTATCATCGCATATCCCTCTCATCGCTATTCTTGCAATTGACTTGTACTGTATGAAAAGGATTGTCTCTTATTACAGACCCCCCCCCTCTCTCTCTCTCTCAGCACGAACTTCTCGCCCAGAATTACAACACATTCTAAAGTGCGGGCTTCATTCTTGTCCATAACAGTATGAAGGCGTATGTACATGTAAATTACGTTTGTGTCCCCTGGTTTGCTGTATTTCTTCAATTTTCTGAAGCATTCTGCACATCTCCGCTAACGATGATTCACTTTCTTTCTACAAGACAGTATGCCAATGCAAATTGCGCATTGGCCAGAGTTTGGCATTAGGAAGTTTTTTTCGTTGCTATCTCGACGGATTGATTGTACTGGCAAAGCTAAATCAACGTGTTCAGATAGAAAATACCAAATTCATGATCAGAGAACCCTGTAGTGTGAAGCGTCTGTTATGTTCTGTTCTGTTCCACCCTCTTTTTTTCTTTTTTTCTACATTGACGTTGTATATAATTATACATGTACATGTACATGTACTGCTGAGGCAACGTCCTAAACTACATGTAAATCTTTTTAATCGTTTTATTGCACATTGTCTCCACCGTTTCACATTGCATGAACAAAGTATACACAAATTTCCATTCAGCTTGTCTTATTGTTTGCGGTTATCAAATCTCTCCTGCTTGGTTACCTTTCCTTTGCCTCTTTTTCTTTATTCCTTTTCTTTTCTTGCTGTGCTTAGATATCACCCCTCTCTCGCACTTTGTGTGCCAATTGGTCATGGACCACAAGTTGAGAGAAATAAAATAAAATAAAATAAAAATCGAACACCCGTGAACAGTGGTTTTCTATGCATTCTCCAAACACGTAATGAGTATGTACATTGTACATGTAGTAATAGACCATGGTAGACTGTTAGAGTGAAACTACCCCATGATGTGCATCACATCAAGCAGTCCTAGCGCTGGGATGTCGGGTGGTCAGGCCAAGCGGGTCACCTGACCAGCAATACACGTTTTACGATTCGGAAAACCCTTTTGAACATACATGTAGGCTAACTAAAAGAACTACAGTGTACTTCCTAGTTACGGGGGGGGGGGGAGAGGGAGGGGGTACTATGGTCCTGTAGAGACACACCACAAAGTCATGCACTGTCTTCACTTCATTGGGATGTTTAGATCATGGATGCCTGGAGTTGATCATGATCATGGTCACAATATGCAGTGTGTGTGTATAGTCTATAGATCTCACAACAGACTGTACTGCACTGCGAATCTGCAGAGCTGCATAAACTATTTCTTGGCTACACACAGTCGGGAGAGAGAGAGAGGAGAGAGAGAGAGAGAGAGGAGAGAGAGAGAGATAGAGAGAGAGAGGAGAGAGAGAGAGAGAGAGAGAGAGAGAGAGAGAGAGAGAGAGAGAGAGAGAGAGAGAGAGAGGATATTAATAGTTACAGCTCAGAGTTGCACGCTCTGGCTAATCCCCAGGTATGTCGTACATGTATGTCTGTAGTAGGGGTCCAGGCTTGACTACATTAGTCTACAGCCTTCACATCAGTGCTTAGTTTGGTAACACCAGTTTCTGACCATACATTGGCCATTGGGTTCAGCAACAGCAGCTGTTACTGCAGAGTATTGATATAGACTGGGTTGTAGAACAAGTGGGTATCGATAAAAGCAAAGGTAAAGATTTGAGTGTGATCGAAATATACAGGCAATGTGCCACAGATAAAATTCTTCGCGGTAAGAGAGGAAAGTGTGAGAGATTCGGAAAGATCTTTCTATAAGTCACATCTTTGCGAGTGCATCAATGCCATCATACTAGTGGAATCAAGACGATGCTGCAAAGGAAGTATTTTAAACCAACAAAATCTCAAGGACACCAGCAAGTCAGTGTAATCAAGGCCATTTCGTACTGGCATTAGCAAGGTGTATGCCAGGCACTCCGCAGCTGGCCATGATCCAGTACCCTGTTACTAGTGTTAGGCAATGCATTGCAGCTCAAGGGTGAACAGGCTAGCTAGCTGCGTAGCCTTCATAACTGTGAAGAATCAAGATGTTGTGCATTATGTTCTCATCACACTTCACAGCTCAACACCATGATAGTAATCGCCTGACTTATCATTCAGTTTGCGGAGTTGTTTCCAATGATGTCACTTTGTCAGCAAGCCCACAGTGACTGTGTGGCGCAATTAACTACCGTTTCTGGGGATGGAGCACTGGGCAATACCGGACCGCACAGCCTCTGACTGGCAAATCGCCAGTGCCGTCAGTGCGCTTCGTCTCCTGTCCTCAACACTCTCCACCTGCTGCGTAGCGTGGAGCTGCGCGGATCCTTTGCCTAGTGCTGACGGAGACTGCGCTGCGGACGATTCAGATGACTCTTGCCGGTTGTAGGTGGCCAGCGCAGCGAACGACAGGAAGGTAGCGGTGGACGTGAAGAATTCAACCAGCAGCAGCGGCGCAAAAACGACCGCTAGAAAGACATCAATCGGTAGAGCCAGCACTCTCAGTGCGACGTGCTTGACGGTTGAGTTACGGGGCTTGTGTTCGTTTTCGCAGTACGCTGGCCAGTCTTCGTTTTGTCCTTGGCTCTCACTGAACGGATCCGCCATGGAGCAATTTAGTACTGCGAGCTCGCACAGATCGGATGCTTCGAAGAGATCCATGTCGACAGAGAAGCTAGCTAGCTGTTTGGAGTTAGGAAGAGTTGATGTAATACTAATAGTCAAAGTGTTGATACTGAATCAAAAACTTGGAAACTATCTAGACTGACGAGCGAAACGTGCTACCTTCTTATTAGACAAGTTTTCTTATTGCAACAAACTCCACAATCCTCTCCGAAACACCGCAGCCTTGAGAGCAAAGTCACTTAGTGTTCTGGCAACGAATGAGCGTAAACCAGGAGATCTCCTGGGCTTTATCCTTTTTTTGCATCTACCACAGCGTCAGACTCAGCGGCTGTAAGTACGCGAGTTGCAACAAGTGGATTTGTTGGTTTGATTTTGGTGGTAAACCTGTCACCGACGACGAGCCGAGTGCATGCATGACCATGATGACAGCATCAATGAAGATGCGCACGATCGAGTCGAGTGCAAGCAGTGGAGCGCGAGTCCCTGCGCGCGCGCATGGCCTAGGCTATGGTAGGCGCTGGATATGGATCCGACGTGGTAGTGCAACGCGCGCATGCTAGTGCATGTGCTGTATATGACCTGTACCTAGTACCTGTACGCGTGCCCTTGAATGGCCACGTGCTTGATGGCAGTGCAACTCGTGGTTCGGCGTCGACGCGTCCTTTCTTCGCATGACCGTCAACACCTGCCTGAACCTGTTTTCAGCCGTCAAGCGGCTTTCTGTTGGAAGATAGTGACCGCTTGTGACCAGTATTTGAGTGTCTCTATGATCCGGTGTCCAGCGCTAACGCCGCATGAAGAAATACCCATTCACGTTTTGGTAAAGTGAAGTGGTCCTCCTTATGAACGACTTCTTTGTGCTACCAATCGCAAGAAACATAAGACACTGTGCCGAACAGTCAGATTCTCGTCGGTTCCTGTGGCCCTGCAGACTAAAATATAAGTTAGTGTAGTGTGGGTGCTCGAGGTCTACAATAGTCAATACATACAGTACACTGATTCCTGACTACAGATTGTGAAACTAGCATTGCTCAATACAGCATCGGTTACATAATGGGTGAACAATGGCAATAAAGGAAAATAGAGAAAATGGATCGACAGCGAGATCTCGAGAGCTCAGCGCTCAGCATGCCGCGCTGGGTGGTTTAGACTAGGCTTTGTAGTAGGGCTCAAACGGTTAGTCCGATTAACCGGTTGCAGACCGGTTACGAAGAATTAACGGTTAACCGATAAAGATAACGGTTACGCAGTAACTTTTCAGTCAATTTGTCAAGTATCAGGTCGTTGCAAAGTATGCACTTTCGCAGGCTGTCGCACGCGTAGGCAACTTCTGATCTGGGCTGTCAACTCGGTCATCGGGGTCTCTTGGTGTGAGAGTATGTATGAATGAGCATGCAAGAGAATGTACATGTGTGCGTTGTACTGAATAGGGTACATTTTTTTATGATCAAATGTACGGTTAAAAAAGAGTCCGCAGGATTGTCGTGGATTATACTTATAGGTTATAAATATAAGCGTTAAACCGACCGTTAGCTTAGCAGTTAACCGCTAGGGCCTTTAGGGGTAAAACCGTGACCGTTTGAGCCCTACTTTGTAGCCTAGTCTAGTCTGTGCATGCACTAGCACTGGACATGGCCATGGCATGGGCCTGGCCGAGGATCCTAGGAACCACGTGGTGGGTTGTGCACGTGCACGCTCCACGCGGCATATGCATCGGAGTGTGACTGAGTAATCAATGCAAGTCACATACCGGGTAATCATTACATGTACATGTACATGATGTACATGATGTAGATCTACTAGTACATGATTGTGTAGTGCATGCACCCATTGAGAGCAGACACTCACGTGAAATCCCTGTGACTAGCCCTTGGCTAGTGTCTGTACTAGTGCTAGTAGCATGGATAATGCCCACAGAAAATTCGGCAGAATTATTAGGACCTTTTCGGGTATTAAACGTTACATTGTAATTTGTATGTTTCATGCTTGTTTGGTATGTGTATAAAGAAAAGAAAAATTGAGCGAATTCACGGAATTGCCTGCCATAAGGTTTGTCTGATTCTGCCAATTTCACTGCTTTTCGAGCAGAATCTGCCAATGTCTTCGAGCATTACTAGTACTGTACTACTGTACTAGTGATCCGCCAAGGGCTACAGTTCTACACCATGCCCTGTATGTGCATGTGAGTATTTTGACAATACATGACTTGTACAGTTCTACCAATGCTGCTGATACGATCTCTCCACTGACTCCAGGCTACATCAGTACTTCAGTACAATAACTACAAGTATGTCCAATTCTAGCCTTCCAGCAGGAGTCGCCATCCTTGTCAAAATGCACGTACAAGTACATGTACATGACATTGTACATTCTACGTGTGCATTGTCCGTAGGTTGAATGACCCCATGGCCCACGGCAAAACAGATCCAACCGGGCTGAACTGATTACATGATTGTTTTTTTTTAGCAGAGGAAGTCGGGCGACTCATTAGAAATCATCGCGAAAGACAGTCGACAGTCTAGAAAATAATTAATTAGTAGAAATGCGGTGCAATGATGATTATGTTGGCAGTGATTAGACTTGCCACACTACTACATGCACATGTACATGTACTAGCATGCAGTGATCGCAATCAGGCACCAGGCATCAACATACTGACTACTGTACTACTGACTGTACTAGCGCTGCGCATAGCCATAATGTACATTAGTCATTACAGTCATGTACATGTACATGTATAATGCGATGTAAAATAAAAAAACAATTACGCACTGTATTTAAAGTGCACACTGTCCTATTCAACTAATTTCATGTATTTGTCTCCACAGCAGGAGGCGCAAAATACGACTCCCTGCTCCAGTCCACATCCCACAAAGCAGTCTGTTGCTGTTGAGTGATCCGAACTGGCCACATGGCCTGGGTGTGTCATGACTCATGTCATGACTGCCATCCCCTAGGGGCTCATAATTATACTGATACAGTGGTAGTCATACTCCCGCTGACTGTAAATTGTAATGCCTAATGGAGTATGGTTACAAGCTCTTGGTAGAGCTTATGGCTAAGTTAGTTATGCGTGCTTGATTGTGCTTGATTGTAGGCAAGTGCACTACCAGTGCCAGTACTACCAGTAGTGCCAAGAAGCTGGCTGACACCGTCTCAGTCAAACACATGACATCTGATTCAACCGCCTGCCCGCGCCATGGCACTAGTGTTGTACGACGTCGTCAGCAGCAACACAACAAGCGCTTCCAGACGCGGGAATATTGTTTCAGGCATCCTTTGTTGTCTCCTCCTTTCTCCGAATTAATGAATGGTGTCTGCAGTCAGTCCATATTGATTGACAGGTGCATCGACAAGCATTCTACACAATCTACAGTCATGAACTTGACTGTGCCACTAGAAGGCTGCAGTGCGTTGTAGGTGCCGATGAACAGGTGGTGCAGATCAGATTGTAGGCAGTTCTTATCTTTCATGCGTTAGCTTTAGGGTATACAGTTTTTACAAGATAAACGGCTTCTTGTTCTGTAGAGCGTAGTTAGTCATGTTCTTGCATCATCCTTATGCCATCCACAGTTCAAATCCACATACCTGGTAAGGGACAGGCAAGACAGGCACGTGAAGACGACCGGACTATTGTTTCGGGCACCCTCTAGAGCTCTGTACGCGACCTATTTCTTAATTACAATCCGAATCGTCTCACACAACTGGAAGACAGGCGCTTTCTGACAGGAACATTGTCTCGAGCGACCTCTGTCTACGCGGCGTATTCCTTTTCCAACCTCCAGTCCATATCGTCTTCCAAGTACAACAGAAAGGCAGGCGCTTTCAGCCAGGCATCCCCAGTCCATGTCTCACAACCACAAGAGATAAGTGTAGCTTCAAGACAGGAATATTGTTTCTTGTGCGTTCACTTCACTCTTATCCTATCCGCAATCAACGTCTTCCTGACAGGCACATGCACGGCACCCCCAAAAAGGATGTCTCCACAACAAAGGAAGATGTTGAAAGTAGAGAGATTGCCACTCGGCCAGACCAAGTCCTGGTTGATGTACACAACGGTCAGCTATGCAGCTCGTACACAGAGTAAACAAGCTCTGGACGCTTATTTACTCTTATATACACGAACACGTAACTGTGATAGGACTTAGTTCTTTGTGATTGGCCTTCTGGTTTCGGCTTCCTCTCACTGTGGCGACCCTACCGGGGGAGAAGTCGGGACGCATTTCCAGCTTAAGAAGTCGTCAGATATAATCTAGAGTGCATAAACGTTTATGGACTCTAGATATGTCCATGTACACTGTAGGTACATGATATGACACCCTCATAGTTATACTGTGTACAAAACTAGTGCAAGTTATTTCAAACAAATTACTTGCTCTCATTTGCCCCCGGTGTACCGCGAATGGCCTGGACTCATCAACTATTGATCCCTGCACCTGAATTTCTCTCTCCTCCTTTCTCTCTGTCTCTCTCTCTCTCTCTCTGTCTCTCTCTCTCTCTCTGTCTCTCTCTCTCTCGCTCTCTCTCTCTCTCTCTCTCTCTCGCTCTCTCTCTCTCTCTCTCTCTCTCTCCCACTCACTGATACCCTCTGGAGGATAGGTAAAATAACAAAAGCAGGGAGTGGACCCGACGACTGCCTGAACCGCATGCTGTTGGCCCATTACTCCTCCCCGGTTGGTACCTACGGCCAAGACATGTTTGCAACTGAGCGACCAGCAAATCTGAGAGTTGGGGCATGTGTGCTTATTTCGCTGCAAACATTCTGACTTCTCACCCGTTTTGGTCCACACAGTGAGAGGAAGCCTAAAACAGAAGCCCGAGAAAGACGACAGGGACCTGCATGCATAAGACGTGGTGTCGACATCATAAGTCACTTACTTATTAACCTAGAATGCAGGTACTTGTACACGTATCCTATTTATTATACGCATTCCCGCGGCAGCGTCAACCAAGCAGTTATGCTTGATCCACACGTTCGCTTATGCTGGACATTGAAACAAAGCAGATGTAGACAGCTCCTAGAGAATGGGGCTCTACAAAACCAATGATCGAAGTTAGTCCTTCAGTAACATGGAGCGTCATGGAGCGTACACGTATCTACTATGGTATAACCCAGTACACCACCCAGTACATGTACTAGTTCAAAACTAGTATTAGATAAACCTTGTTATAGTTCACACATACTGTTAGATTGACAGCATGAAACAAGGTGGAGGACACTGGGTTCGGAAACAGTGACCTTACTACAACCTTCCGCGGTTGGCAGAGCCCCGGTCCCTTCGGACCATTTGAACCATATGGGTGTTGAACCCGGTTCTGACCCTCGTTATGCTAGGGGAGTTTTAGACTTCTCCTTACGTCCGTCGTGTATTCTTTGATCGCTCCTGGACGTCGTCCTGGTAGTCATGTAGATACTTAAACCTGAATTGCTTTTCTCAAATCTTCTTTTCTTCCAACTTTTGCCCATGGCGTCCTTCTCTCAGCTCGTCAGCTGTCAACAGTTACTGCCACCACCATGACACTGTCGTGAGAAGGTGCTCTCTGTAGACGGAGTTGGTGATGTCCCAACGCGGCCATGGGTAGGCCTTCACCACGTCGGAACACCCCGGCTACTCGTTGGTTACCTCCACTAGTTAACTTGTTTGTTGTTGATGTTGTCACGTAAACTAGTACTGGTCAAGAAAACTTGAATTTCATCTACAAACCTGAGCAACTGCTTCAATTTTGCTACACGTTGGTTGCCTTCATCAGTACCGCTGCAGCAGCGCTGGGAACTAACTCGTATGTTGTTCTAACAATATTATGTATCTACTGGTAGGAGCACCACATAGGCAGAAGAGAACAGAGACAACCGGCTACAGTGTAGTTCATTGTTGTTGCTTCATGCACATAGCAAAGCTAAGGTAATCCTCAGACAACTGATAATAACCTGTAAATCATCTGGGTCCAAATCATATTTACACCCAGCTCAGGTACAGCGCTGTACTCAATCTGCGGACAGAGAGGGGGGGAAAGGACATTAGGTAGTAAAGCGCGCAAAGGCCAATCCAGGAGCACTGTGCATGCGCAAGCCCTGCACAGTAAGTACATGTATGTTCGTACAGTCTTTTCTTTGGGGATTTGTGACTACCGGCATTTATTTTGCATGGCTTAAGGCGCTAGGCATGCACAGTGTGATTGGATGCGGAGAGAAGGCGAAGTAGAAATACGTAGTTTACTATCTTTGACCTCCGCGGCAACGCAAAGCTATCGCTACAGTCATATACCTGGCCGGATATAGCTGCTCGCGCGACTGGTGCTTTGCCTTTCTGTATAATAATCTTTATTAACGGATCTCCCTTGAGGCGATGGCCTGTCGAGGAGATCTCCTGATGCAAATCATGCAATTGTGAAACAGGGAGTCGTTGTGGCGTGAAAACGCGGGTTTGTACGCCTCCCGGCCCTACCTGCAGCCTTGTGTAAGCCCAGTAAAGCACTAATGGTCGTAGTGATGGCCGTAACAAGCAATCAAATCAACCCATGTACAAGTGAGTGCTCATAATAACAAATCGGACGGCAATGCGTCATCATGCAAGACGCCTCGCGCTCTTCCCGGATGGCTTTTGCTTTTCTGGGATGTGATGCGTACGAAATAGTGAGCTACTTCGAGCTTCGCCGATTTTTTTGTCCCTCGGTTCCATAAAAAGAAGCCAAGTGATTACTGCGGCCATCCCGGCGACGGTATGTCCTGATTTGGTGAAACTAGTGCTACATGAGGCTGGAACTGGGTACAAACTGTGCACATTTGAATGTTGGCATCTTCACAACCGGACCGCAAAGACACTACGCAAAGTTAATCATACGGTTCCTTCAGTGTTTACAGAGAGGGAGAGAGAGAACTGACATAATAGTTTACAGTTTCCACGAGAAGGCAGCGTCTGTTAGGTGTTAGCAGTATTGGTGTCGATACACGAGATACGAGGTTTTGCGGGGACGTTGCGTGAGCGCTCACCGTAATAATTTATTCCGGTTACACACCAAATGCGAGACCATTTCGTCCAGCTTCAGTTTTGATGAGCTTGTGGTTTGTAAACGAGTATTGTAACGTTTTCGTTTCCCGAACGCTGCGACAACTGGGCATGCTGCACCGTGCACCAGCTTCCTCGCTTCAGCCATTAGCTTCAGTATAGGCGTACGTCGATATCAAGCACAGGGGGACACGTGGCAAGCAGCATATATCAGGCCAGATGACGGTAAGAAATCGTGCTGGAATGCCGTCACAATTTTATGTTCAACTTGCTCCAGTTCAGATAGTGTAACTCGGGCAATGGTGTAAAGCAAGAGAGGCGTTGAAGCCTGTCAACGCGATACATGTATTACAGTAATGCCTGGACAGTGGTGCGAGTGTGGTGGCCTGCAACACTTGTCTATTGCACCCCTCGTTGATCCGCAGCTGACACAGTACCCCCATCGGAGACGCATGCATTGTACTTGTCCAGGACGCCTGTGCGGGAGATTGCAGATATGAAGATTTGAAGACAGGCAGACTGAGAGAGAGATTATGATCTCTCTCTCTCTCTCAGTCTAAAGGGTGCACTCCTTGCTTGCTTGTCGTACCAGTTAAACAGTTTTCAGCGATTTGCATCCACCTTGTGATAAGCTGGTACTGTCATACATACAGCTGAACCAGGGGAAATCCCACCCAGACTGCCAAGTGCCCTGGGCCACTTCCATTGCATCATTGTATTTTGTACAATGTGTATGCAGAGCAGCATTCGTGTTTCGTTCTACAGCGTAAATACTATTACCGTAAAATCCCGCCAGAGCGCCCCTTCTCCCCCATCCGCCCCTTCTCCCCCATCCGCCCCTTCTCTCCCATCCGCCCCTTCTCCCCCATCCGCCCCTTCTCTCCCATCCGCCCCTTCTCCCCCATCCGCCCCTCCCTGACTTCTTGTCAGGGAAGTGATTGATTGTATCCTCGTATGACTCTGTGATGCCGTACTGTACTGCACTCAGTCTGCAGACGCGTGCCCGACCCCATTGGAAATGTACGCAACAGTGCCCGCCCTCTTGACCAGGGATCGCACAAACACTGGGTTCCGACGGGTCTGTACTACTCCTGGCACTTGACCTTTGGTCGGTGTACGAGATGCACGACCAGTTTTCGTAGGGGGAGTAAATTTTCATACTGAATGCGGCAAGTAGGACTCGCCCATCCGCCCCTCCCCACCTGAAGCGTCGAGGAGGTAGGAGTGCTCTGGCGGGAATTTACGATACATGTATTATAGTACACTATTATAGTTTTATGGCCTGGCTCGAGGGAAACATGGATGCAGTGAATGGGATTTTGGTGGGGTCTTTCACCACTTTGTGCTGGGTCTGATTTACTCACCTCCCACGGCTTTGGAGCTGCATCTGCGCCTTGATCCTAGAGTGGCGTTCCTGCAGATGCAGAAAACTAACGCGAAACGTGAATTTATTTATTTATTTAGAATTTATTATCAACCAGCACACCACACCGTTGCGCTCTCCGGCCCACCTCAACACGTTGCCACGGGTCACCGTCAGCAAAACGACGCTTCAGTTGGTACTCTGCTCCTTCAGACAGCAGCTGTTTTGATCATCAGGATCTCGTCAGTGAAGTATCTGTTATCTGTTAGCTATTCTACACTATCAACCTTCACTGACGAGATCCTGATGATCGAAACAGCTGCTGTCTGAAGGAACAGAGTAACAACTGAAGTGTCATTTTCCTGATGGTGGGCTGTGGCAACGTGTTGATGTCGGCCGGAGAGCGCAACGGTGTGGTGTGGCGGTTGATAATAATTTGGACAAGGCGAATGCCGCTGCTTACCCCTCTTGATTATTTAGAATTTATGTGAAAATAAAGTATACTGTTCGCACATCCCCGTTACCACCGGCTACGCAATGGGAGGTATGCACTGAAGATGGCCGTCACCTTTTTGCAGGGCAAGTTTTTGCCCCATTTTCGGCAGGTGCAACCCGTTCTCGTACAAACGTGAGTATGGCCGTACAAAGTTCATGACCTTTTATGCAGAGCTGGTATCACAGTGTGTACGGTTGTAGTGAACTTGCCCCGCAAAACCTAGTAAATAGAGAGGTTAAGTTTAACGTAAAATTCTTACGTCCGTGAACTTTTACGTCAAAAATTCGAAAAACTCACGTAAAATTTGACGTGTTTTACGTGAGTTGACTGTCCCGCACGTAAGTTCGTGACGTGGGTTTTTGGAAGTTTCGCTTGGTTATCCTGATCGAATTTGTGTGAGTTTCCGTGGTTTTATCGAGTTTTGTCGAGTTTGTTGGAAGATTTGATATTTGGGTGAACTGAGATTTGCACCGCGTTTTGAAAATTGGCAAAAAACGTGTAACTTGATCCTTTATGGACTGCCAAATTTGTGCAGGAAAGAAGCGACATGCGAAAATCAGTAATAACTCGAAATCGGTGTACATTAGCCAATACAACACCATACATTTTCGGAAAGTAGATAGGATAAGCTGTCCATCATCATCCTCGCCGCCGCTCTCGCTACTAGCAGTATCAGCAAATCCATCAGATAAATTGTTTTCTTGAATTTCTGGGATATCATCATCACTATCACTGTCCACTTCAAACTCGTCAAGTGGGTCGCCAGATCTGTCCTCGTCAGAGTTCCAGTTCAGAATCATGCCGATGGCATCGTCCGCATCCATGCGGAGGACGTTTCCGCGTCGTGCCATGACAGTACTCGTACTGCAATTTTAGTTCTGCATGCTCGCGCAAGCTCTCAATTTTTTTCTTGCGCGGCCGATTTGGTCAACATTTTGACCAGGGACCCCCCGGCGAATTTAGCACCATTGGAAAGATATGGATTTCGTCTTTCGATTTGTGTAAAAAATATCGCCGAAAACGTGCGGTGCGCCCAGAAAAATTCGCGTTTCAAGTTTCGATCTTATTAGATCGAAACTCGTACAGTCCGTCCACAAAAGGGTTAACCTCTCTAATGACGAGAAATGGATTCGTACGTCCCACTGTATTGAGAAACACACCCAGCTGAGGAAGTTTCAATATGTGGTCTAGTGGAGTCTGCTACGACTAAATTCCTTTAGCACCCGTACCCGTAGGCACAGAAAAAAAAGAAAAATTCGACGGGTTCGCGTACCGTGCAGGTCAGAACAAGGAGTCGTACAACTCCCTGGTCAAGAACCACCTTTCCGCTTCCGTGGGACGCCACCACCCCATGATTAGACGTCAGATGCGGCTCCTAAACGGTGGGGGAGGATAGATCAGAGGCACAGGCAGCTCTGTAAAGAAAGCATACTAGATTCACCCATCACCTGCATTAGGTGTCCAATCCAAGTAAATCTACCAAAAAATAGCCCCCGTGTCAAACATAGGAATATAGTAAAATTTACTGTGATGTTGTGGCCTGCAGTACATGTAGTTGTGCAGTGCAGTAGGTTGTTGTCCAAAAGTGGCACGTCCCTAATCAAACTACAATCTCCATGCAAGAATGTTTGGTTTCCTGCCTTTAAAACATACTGGTTTCGCCGGAATGGGGCTGGAAAGCGTCTATTGGGGTTGCTGCTGCTGCTGCTGTTTTTGTGGTCCTGGTTGCTGTTGGATTATTCACTTGAAAAAGCACATGACCACCAAGTAAGCTGACGAAGAGAAGAGAGTAGAGCTGTGTTCATAACTGACATGTGTACGCGGTGCGTTTGCGGTCCATGCATGCCCAGGTGAGCTTTCAAGCTTTTCCAAGAAACTGCAGGTCGAGTTGTAGTTTGGGGGCGTGGGATGCCTTTGGTTACGAAGTTTTGACCCCCCCCCCCCCCCCCCGCCAGTCAATCACACAGGCATTCACACAGGCAATCACACAGGCATTCACACAGGCATTCACACAGGTATTCACACAGGCATTCACACAGGCATTCACACAGGCATTCACACTGGTACGTACCTGATGTGCGCTGAGAATTGCATGTCAGAATTTCAATTTAGGCGCGCTTCCGTACGCATGACGTCCAAAAGGCAGCGAAATTACGCACAAACACGTGGTTTCATGCATACACGCGCCAGTTGTGAAACTTGATTAAGATACGTTTATAGAGACAGACCGAGAGACAGAAAAGGACAAGGCAAGTGACAGACAGACAGACAGAGACAGACAGACATACAGACAGACAGACAGACAGACAGACAGACAGACAGACAGATAGACAAAGTGAAACCGCAGATCAAGACAAGACCCAGACAAAGGTAAACAGCTTACTCACAGAGCTACAAAGGTGCTACAAATGTGCTGGTCACTCTGGGGAAATCTGGATTTCTTTCCGGAGAGGAGCAGCTAACTAAATTGGTGTAGTGATGCTTATCACTATGTGGATACTAAGTCTGTCTGTGTGTGTGTCTTTTCTCCCTCAGTCATTTTTTTAATCTTTTTCTCTCTTTCTTCTTTCTTTTTTCTCCGCGAGGATGCGGGGTTCTTTTTTCATGAAGGGGTGGTATGTTAGGCCCACAAGTAATTACAATAATTATATTAATTCATATAATTCATTAGTTCATGCATTATTCATTTGGCCTGGGTAGCTACTTGCACGTCCATGTTTGCCATAGCTACCCAGGCCCTTTATATTGCGTCTCTCTCTGTTCAACTCTCTCTCTCTTCAATAATCACCATGTAGTCGTTTCATTCGTCCTGGTCTTAGTCATTCCGTATCTAATAAATGTCGTTCCACCAATCTACCTGTTCCCGTTGTCAGTCGTCTTTGTCTCCTGTTCGGACCCAACACTAGTATAGATACAGAACGTTACGTGTGTTTGGGTGTATGCGTATGCACATGTGTGTATGCACGTGTATGTGTTTGCACATGTGCATGTGTGTGTGTGTGTGTGTGTGTGTGTGTGTGTGTGTGTGTGTGTGTGTGTGCGTGCACACGTGTATGCGTATGCATGTGTACGCTTGTGCACGTGTATGCGTGGGCACATGTATGCGTGTGTCTGCATGCGCGCGTGTCTGTGTCTGTGTGTCAGTGTGTGCATGCATGTGTGTGTGTGTATGTTTGTCTATGTCTGTATGTATCTGTGTGCGCGTGTACACGTTGCATTGATCGGTACATGCGCCCAATGCTTAGCAGGTCGCGAATGGTCGGTCCGTGGCATCACGGCCCCCGGCAGTTGTCACCATCGCCAGTGCCTGCTGTCTTCTTCTCCTTGCTCAGTGCAACGTCAGCATTGCTGCCTGCACAGGGCTCATGGACCCTGGCTGTAAGTTTTTGTTTACCGTATTTGTAACATGGAGATTGTGGGCACGAGTTATGCGATCGAGTCCACCAACTAAACCAGATTTTGAACAGTCAGATATGCACAATCTAGCACAAAACTGACAAGATCGCAAAACTTGTGCCCACACTTTCCATGTTACAAATGTTTTCCTTGGCTCACCATCTGAGTTTTACCGTATTTTCCAGAAAGTAAGCTGCGCCCAGATTTTTTGTCACACAATGCAGACAAGAGAATGGGGTAAGCAGCAGCATTTGGCCCTGTACAGATAAATGCAGACACCCACCCTATTTGAACTTAGAAGTTGCGCCTTCTGCAGTATTAGTCATGAAGTTGGTTGTTCCAATGAGGAACACGCGCTTCTTGCCGAACTTGACACTCGACCGACTCACGACTGCCATCCGGAGCACACGAGGAACACGTTGCACCTTCCGCTCGGCAAACCTGCAAGAAAGCACCACTCCCTGCTCGATACACAGTGTTTCGGGGAATTCACCCCTCATCAGTTGAGCTTGAGTAGGCTGAGGAAGATTGTGCCTAAAAGGCACCACTTAAGTAACAACCAACTTCATGACTAATACCGCCGAAGTCACAAATTCTAAGTTCAGATCCACGCTATTTGTCACCGTTAATTTGACCATTGTCGTATAAGCCGCACCAAATTTTTGAATTAGTGGTGCTTAAAGTACGGCTTATACTGCGGAAAATACAGTAGCGTTATTTTACTTCGCCAGCACAGGCCAAAAAACTGCCTTCTCATTGGGCGTGTAATCACAGTTCTCGCAGAATGATGAATATACTGATATAGTCAGACCTCGTTTAACTGCACACGTCCGTTTTCCACAAAAAAAATATCCGGATAACCAAACACGCATGCTGAGTCTGCCTTCATATGCTTGAGGCACATCCAAAGGTGTGAAATGGTGAAAATACTTCGAAATCCTGGATAAAAGAAAGGACAAAATGTTACGAGTTATGACTAACTGTCCACCAACGTAAGCAGATCTTATACAGTTAGGGAGTGTGACAAAATGGCACAAAACTGACAAGGAGTCATGAGACATTCGACGACCTTTTTTTTTAGGGGTGAAACGGTCACCCTTTAAGGTTACAAACGGGTACCTGGCTTAGCGGGCTGGTTATCGGGTATCCTTTAGCAGCTAATAGTAACAGTTACTATACAATAGCCTTCCGCATTTCAAGCCAGGAGGACATGCAAAGTCATGCAATTCACAGCAACTGCACTACATGGCGACAAGCACAAAACACTCCAAATTGTCGTATGTAGCTGGATCAAACCAGCAACAACACATTCCAACTGTATATCGAACTGTACGACTGTAGAAGCCAGCTAGTAATACCGTACCCTACCGTTGTACACGACTAACGGGCACTGGTTTGCTAACGGATCAGCAGCTAAACAGACGGGTACCCGGGTACCCGGATCACCCCTTTCACCCCTACTTTTTTTAAACATTTTGTCCTTTCTTTTTATCCATGACTTCTTTGGCTCAACATCCAGGTTTATACTTCAAAATAGCAGTATTTTGGCTCTGCCTTTGGTCCAAAGAAGTCAGGAGTTTTTCAAACTTCGGAATGGGACATATAGCATCCTACCGGTCTCCCATCTGAAAAACAATTCTGCAAGAAGTTTGTTGTTGTAGAGAAACAAGAAAGAAATTGGTCATTCCCCAACCCCCATCTACTCCCATACAATGTGTATCTCTCTTACGTCACAGAGATGGCCTACTCTGGGCGAGTTGATGACATAATCATGATGTCACCAAATCTAGTCAAAACTTCGAGCTGTTACTGCGGGAATGGCTGCTCTGAACAACCTGGGAACTTCACCATTGGGATCAGCGCATCTTCCGCTCCAGGTTGTGAAATTTTCATTGAACTTCCCCTTCAAAAGTGGACATGATGGGAGAGAGCCAACCGTGGCAGAAAGGAAAAGCAGGAGCGGAAGGGGAGGGGGGGGGGGTGAGAATGAAGAGAATGATAGAGATATAGACCAAAGGCTGCCCTGTTGAATATTGAATAATTCGGAGTTGTCAAGAGAAAATGACCCACATGTATAAGTTACTAGTTATGACTAACAGTCCACCAAGGTAACCAAGGTAACGAGATAATATACCCTCAGATAGTGTGACTACATTGGTCCTTGGTGGACTGTTAGTCATTACTAGAAACTTATAGGTCCTTTTCTCTTTACATATTACTATTTGCTCAACACCCGAGTTTTAATGAGGAGTTTTCATCGCCATTATTGCCACTGAAATTCGTTTGGTTTGCTTACACTGCAGGGAGGGATGACTGCCCGGACGTACCTGACGGTACTATCTCACCAAACTCACATCCGCTTGAGGCTAGCAAGGCCAAGCTGATATGCTCCCTGAAGGGCAGCATCCTGGCTCCGGCTCGGTCCTGTTTTGCCCGGCACGCGAACTGCCACGTGCTCAAGCAGGTGCTGAACGTCCACTTTCCCGTTTGGACGATTGCCGCCAACGGCACCGTGTACCTACTGAGCAGCGATGGAAAGCTGAATTCTCCAACTGCTACATCCACAGCACCACCGCTCTGCTTCCAACCCTGTGAGAGATTTATGTGCAATGAGAACATGTTTTCTAATTGTCCGCAAACTCAGCCACTTACACAGAGACCGTTTTTGGAGTTGGGAAGTGAAGTTTCCTAAATGCCAATATCTTCTTCAAACAACTGAGTAACTATAGGGCCATCTAGGGACTCAAATTGTTTGCAACAAAAATAGTTTTCCTCTGGCGCGGAGTGGGCTTTTCAAGTTTCCATGTGAAAAATACCTACCGGGTATTGAATATGCATGGGGAATGTCCGCATACCGCTATTAAAGCCGCGGCAATGAAGTTTGAAATCAATTATTATTATTAAAAGCATGTCCGCGTAGGTGGCGGGGGTGCCACCCTCGCTTATGCCATTCAGGATTGATGTCTGAAGAGTAATACGATACAATGAAATGACAGAAGTGTGAAGAAGGGCTGAGGCTTCCTGCAGCTTCATCTGTGAAAAGAATTCGGGTGGACACACCCATTCCCATAGCGCTGCATATCACATCCGAACCAGTTCCGTTATTTTACAACGTTTCGGCACTTGGCCATCATCAGGTTATAACAATGAATACCGTGGAAGCCACACAAGAGCAGTATATACGCAGAGTGTAGCGCCAAAAAAGATGCGAATTATGTCACCTAGTATGACAGAGAGAGAGAAAAGGCGCAACTAGCACATCACGGAGGAGAAGCAGCAGAAGGTAGCGCACATTGTGCTCTGTGAATGGCGTTGCGCAGAGTGTAGCGCCAAAAAATATAATGATGCGAGTTATGTCACCTCTATACAGAGGGGGGGGGGGAGAGAGAGAAGGTGCAACTGTGCACATCACGGAGAAGAAGAGCGCGCCGTTGTGCTCTACGAAGTGAGAGAGTCTCTCCCCCCCCCCTCTGTATAGAGGTGACATAACTCGCATCATTTTATTTTTTGGCGCTACACTCTGCGCAACGCCATTCACAGAGCACAATGCGTGCTACCTTCTGCTGCTTCTCCGCCGTGATGTGCTAGTTGCGCCTTTTCTCTCTCTCTGTCATACTAGGTGACATAATTCGCATCTTTTTTGGCGCTACACTCTGCGTATATACTGCTCTTGTGTGGCTTCCACGGTATTCATTGTTATAACCTGATGATGGCCAAGTGCCGAAACGTTGCAAAATAACGGAACTGGTTCGGATGTGATATGCAGCGCTATGGGAATGGGTGTGTCCACCCGAATTCTTATGACAGAAGTGACGTCAACAAAAGCCGTAAGCAACAATACCAATATGACTAATGGAAAACTTCATCCAAAGTATAAAATAAAATAGAATATGCATACAACATTTCTGGTCAGATCAATACTTAGAAGAATTTCGCTTTGCCAGGAGAACGTGCGGGTGTTAGACGGAGGCTAAACAAATAGTGAGACTCTTTCAACACAGGGAGCAAACAGAACCTACCAGTACTGGTCTGTACTACATTATGTTGCAGCCAGCATCTCCGCGGTATAAATGCAATGTGAGAATTAGAGCGTTGACAGAGCCGTAGGGTCACCTCGCATTCTCCCTACTCCACGGCGGGGTTCGAAGTGACTTGGTGCACACATCTGTCCAAACATCTTTCCGATTCCACATTCTCACCAGTGTTGTTCTGCTGCGCCAGCATCACTGCAGGAGTTCATCTTGAGTTGGAATAGGACCAAGAGACCCCCCCCCCCCCCCCCCCCCAGAGTTTGCAACTCCACTATGGGTGCCGTCCCGGCAGAAGTACAAATTGACATCATTTTTGCCGGCGTGATGCAATGCGCGTTTTGCACGTCTTATTCGACTTATCCTGGACCTTTGGTTGACAAGTCTCCATTTTATCCGGTTCAAATTAGTTCAAGGAACCACGTATGAAGCCTTGGAATCCCATACAAAGAGTTACTCGTGCGAGGAGCAGCGTATCATGAGCATGACGTCAACTTTGAAATTCTGTGTGGAAAGCAGGATATGCGGGACTTGCACACTCTTGTGAGCCATTTGCTCTTCGATTGGTCCGATGGAGTACAGCACAACCTGTAACTAAAGACCACCGTGACTAGCGACTAGCTTGGCACTAAAGACCACTTTGCCAGGCACGGACGGTCTCACATTCATATCATGTTGTGTGGCGCAACCCTCTAACTAAGGACCACCTGCCACTAAAGACCGCTTTCTCTGGCCCCAAGGGGTGGTCTTTAGTCACAGGGTTTACTGTAGTACATTCTGGGTCATCAGCAACACTACAGGATTACATCATGGACTGGAGTAGCAAATGCTGCGCTATCTGCCCCGGAAGTTCGGCGACCTTTAAATTTGATGTCGTACGTTACTTTTGTACATCCTGTGTGTTGGTGCATGCGCTTGTTGCTATTTCGTGAAAAACAGTCGTCGCCTTCAGTTCGTCATGTCCGGTTGTGTTTCCGCAGATGTGTCATAAATGAAGTCTTCCCAATACGAGAGAGCTTGGAAGCTCAGGGCCCTAAGCTATGCTTTTTTTTGCCTTGAAGACCTAGACAAAAAAGCATAGGGATGTTATAAATGTTTCATTTCTCCTATTTTTTTCAAGACATAACCCGGGATTCGAACCCGCACTATCGCCCTGCATGCATCCCCCGATACACTTCGCATACATACTAATTCTTCCAAGTTGCTTCACGTTATGATCTTGCATTTGAAAGCCCTATTTGAATATCGTGGCCAGCTGTTTGTGGTCAGCCGTCTTTGATGGTACGGTACGATACGGTACGGAACAGATACAGTCGAGGATAATAATTATGACACCGTCTACCACCTTGATGACTAGGCAAAAAAAGCATAGGGATGTTATAAATTTTTCAATTCTCCTATTTTTTAAGGCATAACCTGGGATTCGAACCGCGCTATCGCCCTACATGCATTCCCCAATACACTTCGCATTCATACTCATTCTTCCAAGTTGCTTCACGTTATGATCTTGCATTTGGAAGCCCTATTTGAATATTGTGGCCAGCTGTTTGTGGCCAGCTGTGTTTGATGGTACGGTACGGTACGGGACAGATACGGGATAGCGCCAGGCGTGACACAAACACACAAACAAACAAATACCAAATTAAAGTTGTGTGGACCCTGGCTAGCGCCAGACGTTACTGAAGTAACGTCTTCTGCATAGCTACGGGAATAAATATCTCGTTGATTGTCTGAGTGTGGAGATCGCACTGGACTGGAAGCCGGAATGAGAAAGACCAGGTACAACACTTTTATCCATCCGCTTGCTTCCCCCATCTGTTTGTTTATTGTTGATGTTCAGCGAGTCCAAGCGCAACGGTGCCATCACCGGTGTTGACCAGCAGAACAGCCCAGAACCCTACAACACCATCGTCTGGTAGAGATGACGATCCATCCACAACAACCGGTGAGATTTGCAGAACTATTATGAGAGACAGAGAAAGAGAGAGAAAGAGAGAGAGAGAGAGAGAGAGAGAGAGAGAGAGAGAGAGAGAGAGAGAGAGAGAGAGAGAGAGAGAGAGAGAGAGAGAGAGAGAGAGAGAGAGAGAGAGAGAGAGAGAGAGAGAGAGAGAGAGAGAGAGAGAGAGAGAGAGAGAGAGGGAGAGAGAGAGAGAGAGAGAGAGAGCAAATGAACAGGGGAGGTATGAAGGAGGTACAGAGAGGCAGAGAAAGAGAGACAGAGACAGAGAGACAGCGAGACAGAGACAGACAGAGACAGACAGAGACAGACAGAGACAGACAGAGACAGAGACAGAGACAGAGACAGAGACAGAGAGACAGACAGAGAGAGACAGAGAGAGAGAGACCAGACAGACAGACAGACAGACAGACAGAGACGGACGGACGGACGGACAGAGACAGATGGACGGACAGGGACAGACAGACAGACAGACAGACAGACAGACAAACAGACAAACAGACAGACAGACAGACAGTGACATAGACAGAGACAGAGAGACAGAGAGGCAGAGAGAAGGAGAGAGAGAAGAGTTCACTAATTACCCTCCTGCCAGCCTCTTCCTTGACATACCTCCCCTCCCCTTCCCCTCTCCTCTCCTCCTCCCCTTCCTTCCTACCCCCACTACCTTTTAAAACCTTCTTTCCAATACCCTGACCTTCCTTCCCTCCCCCCCCCGTTCTCCCCCCCCCCCCCTCCCCTCCCTTCCATCCCCTTGGTTGCATCTACTCTCCCGTGCCATCTCTCTTTTCGCCCCTGCTGTCCTCCCTCTTCTCCACTGAGTTGTTCCTCTATGCTGTATTCTATGCTGTATTCTGTGCTGTATTCTGTGCAGGGTCGGGCACTCTGAACTCAGTGGATCGGATGGTCATTGCCGTTTCGGCTGCCGTCGCTTTTCTCATCCTCATCGGAGACGTGGTGATAGCCAAGCGCATAACAGCCTCTGCTGCCGCCGCAGCCCTCTTGGAGGCAAACGCGGACAGTTCGCGGGGAAGCTGCGGCAGCGAGTATCAAGACAGCCTTCCAGACCTGAGCCGCAAGTCCAGCATGGTGAGCTTCTCCGGCAGATCTGGTTACTACAAGACCACTCAGCTGGACAAGGAGACGGAGGCGAAGCAGGCTTTGGCACTCCAATCACGGCTCCTGTCCACCTCCAACGATAAAGAAACCCTCCTCGTCCCGGGCGGTCGCAAGCAGCACACCTACGTCAACCAGACGACCGGTGCAGATCCTAGCACGCAACAGCAGCTAACGATGGACAACAGTCAGTTTCTACATCCACGCTGTAACAGCTTCAACAACAAGTACGCTGTTCCGATTCCCAGCCGTAACAGGTCCAAGACTACATCGGCATCGGACGCGGCACGGCCAATGAAAGACAACGGCGCCATCATCATCGCTGGTCATAACTTGGAAGCACCGAACAATGACTGGCTCCCGGCCAGCCTGGCAGTTCCCGGTGCTGCACCTAGCAACAACGACAATGCCGTCGGGTTTGTGCCTGCAACGCACTCGGCACATGCTGGCTTGAATCAGCGACTCAGCTACACTCCAGGAAGTGCTGCTGTGCCATCATCTCAGCCACCCATGCAGAGGAGCAACTCGGCGCGAGCCACGCATTCCAGCCGGACTGCCAGCAGCAATGGTCAAAAGTCAGCGGCAGCCGCGGCCGGGCTCAACCGCACGCGATCCAATGTGGACCTGACAGGCAGCACATATGACTGCTTCAGTACGGGCATACCTGTCTCGCAGGAGCATAACGCAGAGTTTTCACCGTCCATGCAAAGCAGCCGAGAAGCCGCCGAGGCACTGATGGGATGCAACGCCGTCCAGTACGTCAACACGTTTGGCGACAACCAGGGCATGTACTCCGACACGTACGCTATGTCTGAGCCCCCCTCCGCCTGCAACACTGCTCCGACCTCCACCGCTGACCCTGCCCCGGCAACCAGCATGGCTAGTACCTCAGCAGGTGCGGGGGTTGATGGCACCGCCGGGAGCAATACCCAAGCAAGTCACCCCACTGGCGGTGGCAGTAATCCGCCCCAGTCGCCGGCAGCATTCCGACGCGGATCCCCACTGGCTGGCCAGGTGCGCACGCCTCTTAACGCTAGCGGTCAGCACCCACAGGCCGGGCACAAAAGCAGCAATCCTCTGGAAAGCATTGGCAGCACCGAGGATGCCGAACGCGCCGCCCGTAACGCTGAGAACGCCCGCTTCTCCACCGTCAGCAATCCACTGTACGGCTGCCGGTTTGATTCTCCAGAATTAACCATACAAGAGAGTATACAGGAGAGTGCACAGGAGAGCATACAGGAGAGTCCGTATGCCAGCGCTGGTAGCACACGTCCTGGCTCGCTGGAATACAATACACTGAGCGACCTGAGAATGTAGACAGGCAAACGGTCGGTGTCAGTACTGCTACTACCGCTGCTGGTACACTGTGTTCACCGACCTAGGCAAGCCGAAAGTGTGGTCTGAGTCCACTTTGTATTTCTGTGTGTGTTTCTGCCCGAACTCTCTCTCTCTCTCTCTCTCTCTCTCTCTCTCTCTCACACACACACACATACACACACACACACACACACACACACACACACACACACACACACACACACACACACACACAAACACACACACACACAAACACTCTTCCTCTCACTCTCTCCCCCTCCCTCTCTCACTCACTCACTTACTCTCTCTCTCTCTCTCTCTCTCTCTCTCTCTCTCTCTCTCTCTCTCTCTCTCTCTCTCTCTCTCTCTCTCTCTCTCTCTCTCTCTCTCTCTCTCTCTCTCTCTCTCTCTCTCTCTCTCTCTCTCTCTCTCTATCTCTATCTATATATCTATCTCTATCTCTCCCTTACTCTCGTCTGACAGCATTCAATAACTGCTATGTTGGAGTGATGTGCCAATATTGCTCCACTTTGTCGATATGCTGAGCCATTGGCTAGGAACCTTGCTGTATTGGCACATTGTCACGTGACTTTCGAGGTGATAATGTGGCAATCCTATCCTAGTACTCTTGAGGTGTTGGGCTCAGATGCACAAGTGACAGGTACCCATCCCACACAGCCATGTTTCCCTGCCTTCTCCCCCCCCCCCCCTCTTCCAAACTAAACTACTAAGGAACAGACTGTGCATGCGCTGTAGCGTGTGGTTGCCTATCTGGACAAAGAGTACATGACTATAAAAGTATGACATTGGGATAGCCAAAGGCCCGGACAAAGGATAACTGACTGTGCGTGTGCCATAGCCTGTTTTGCTTATCTGGATAACCAGTACTTGACTATAATTATGACGTCATTGAGTGAGGTGATGGGAATCAGCGTTACCACGACGACAGCTACAATAATGGACGCCGGCAGTCGTGCTGTCAGTATTGGAGCAGCCGTATGCTGTGACTGGTCCAAGTGATTGTAGCCTAGTGCCATGGGTGGCTTAATGTTGGTTACAAAGCACAGAACACAAGCTGCAGGTGTAATATGTACTCGAATGCTGCCATCGACTTCCCATCGCCTCGACCCGATTAACATGCCGCACACACCGATTGAAACTTGAAAGCATACCGGACAATTGCCCCCCCCCCCCACCCCACCCCACCTCCTCCCTCCCCTCCCCTCAACCTCCCTCTCCCTTTTAAACAAACTGTGCTACTGGTTTTATCTGTCTATTAATGTGACTAGTTCCAATAGTGTGATGCAATGTTTGCTGTTCATGATATTATGCGTTCACACGGTCTCAGAGTCTACGAGCATCTTCCAATATCTGCTTTTAGATGTTCCTCCATGTTCTCACGGCAGTATGCATTTGACCGTTAAATTTGCACAATGTGTTGCTCGAATGTATTATAATTTCTGTATTTTTTAATAGTATTAAATGCATACATCCAAATTGTTTTATTCTGGTGACTCATTGTCATAAAGCAGATGTGATCGGGTTTTTTTTTTAAGTTTGATCATCGGTCTATTCCTGTGCGGGCAACGCTCCAGGGGTGTTGGATAGCGGCTCTGGTCCTTGCAGTAGTGACCCTACCAACTCAGTTTGCCTCACACAATACCTTGAGAGTAAATAAAACGTAATGAAGCTTGTGAACACTGGCTCGCACTCAATCAATGCTTTTCAAAATTCATGTCAGGAAAATATTCAACGTTTCGGGCCATAAAATAACCATCATCAGGATTGAAGCGGGCATACTGGTTAGGATGGATAAATACATGAAAAGCGCTGCGAGGAGCTAATGAAGTAATCAAGCTATGACCAGTATACATGTACATACGTCTAAAAGCCGCAGACATCTCCACGCATTTTCCTTCCAAATTTCGAAACATACACAGATTTGGTCTGAACTGTATTCCCTGAAATAGAAGCATGACTGTGTCACGATATTAACTAAACAAGATACACAGTCACTGTGCAGAAGGAGTATGACAAGCTTCAGGCTTCGCCCACACGAAGTACACCATACACTGTAACACAACCAATGTGAAACTGCAACCTAGCCTGACCAATCCCACACACAGTCCTTGCGGCTAGGGATCAGGGGAGGAGGGGCTTTGAAGGGGTTGCTCTCTACTCTTTCTTGTACAAGTACAATGATCTTTGGTTCTAATGCGGGACGCTTCAGTTTGAGATTAAAACAGCATCGTCATTGGATACTGGATAAAGAAAGGATTTTTTTAAAATAAGGTTCTCTGACTACCGTAAGCTCTCAAGCCGCTCTCACTGTCTCAGCGGATAGGGACACTGCTGCTCTCGTTAACGTTGGAGCACGTACAATCATGACATGTACTTTCACCACCCATACAGAAGACTGTTGAGCTGACCTCAGGAGTACCGTTTACGTGTGGGTGATGTACAGATGTACTCTTGATTCCATTGTCCGCTCTCTATGCAGCTTTCGGATATCACCGGTGCATGTCGATGCTCCCATTTCCAAGAGGAATAACTGCGCGAAAGGACGCGTCCGCCTTCCAGCGGATTCTGTAAATGTACATGAATGTGTGATGATCGTAGGTTCATACGAATAGCATTGGACTGATTGGGGGCAAAGCAACAAAGACCGAAACCGTTTCCTTTTAGAGTTTAGGTTGGCTAATCAGATAGCGACGGTTCAGTTATTGACTGTATAATTATACTTGAAGTATTAGACAGTTGTCTAAGTTCTTCAGGCTGCTTACAGTGCTCAATGTCCAGTGGACAGAGCCAGGAATCTTTGTTTGACTTTTTTATAATTATGTATGTACCTGTGATGGTATTGTCGCTCTCTATTCTTTAGACAACCGCGGCATGCAAGGAGACAACAATCTTATAAGCGCAATAAGGAGAGTCAGTTCGGGATGGACATGTGTGTCAATCGATGATGAAAATGTGCAGTAACAAAAAGGAAAGAAAATGCAATAGTGAAGACAGCAATGGAGAAAGATTGAAACAAGGTTTCGTTCAACACTCCTCAGGAAACATCGATATCTTTGACCTAATGAACAAAGCAACAGAAATGAACTTTCATAAAAAACGACGACAGATTAGTCACACCTAGTGATAGAGCTGAATTTTCCAAGTGTGAATACAGCGGATGATGTACCAAGGGGGCTGACAGTAGGTGTGTGCGGATTCTGCTCGAAAAGCAGTGAAAATGGCAGAACCATACAAACCTTATGGCGGGCAATTCCTCGAATTCTGCTCCATTTCTTTATCCACATACCAAACATGCATGAAATTTACCAGAAAAAGTACCGAATTCTGCCAATTTTTCTGCCGGCATTATCCGCAAAGGCCTAGCTGACTGTGCTCAACACCACGGCGGAGGCAGAGCGTAATACAGAACAACAAGGAAAATCCAGGCTAGTTTGGCGCTGTTTAAAAGTGTCATGCTTTCGTAATCAAGTGTAAATACATGACGTAACGCTACAGAATGAACAGTATCAAATGCACGCTCTTACGTGACTATAATACACGTGTAAGCAAGGTTTGTTTAGTGTTGCCAATACAATAGCCCTTTCCCAAAGGTGCTCGCCCTTTTTTCGCCCTTTTTCGCCCTTTTGGAAAAACCCGTTTCTTTCGCCCTTTATTGCGTTTTTGGTGAATATCGCCCTTTTTGAGCTTTTTGAGCTGAAAAAGTGCTAAAATCTGAGAGTTCAGCTGTGTTTTACTTCCGTAGTCCGTGTTGTGATACCACTATTTCTTTCATCACTCTGTATTACAGCAAATTTCATTTCCATCCGTCGTCGTCATCCTCTCCATTCTACAATACTTTTGATTATCCGCTTTAGAGGCACTGTACATCAGTCGCCAGCCAATTTCCCCTTAACCACTGTAAAGTCGAGCAAGTGTCATTTTGAAAAAGCACTTTTGCCTGCTTCACTGAAAAAAGAGCACTTTTTGCCTGCTTTCATTGAAGAAAGAGCACTTTTTCAGCATATTTTGAGGGACGCGAAAAGCACTATGTGCGAATTAAAAGAGCACCTTTGGGAAAGGGCTAGTTGCCAAGAACGTTTTCTTGTGATTGCTCATCAGTTGTTGTTCTTCCTTGACTTTCGATTATGATGTATTCCAACTGAAGAATGTCATACGAAAACATTCTTGCCTTGGAAAAACTAAACCAACCTCGCTCTGCGGACACATGTCCCCCCCCTCTAGGGTCCGGCGGATTCTGCCGGCAGAAAAAATTGGCAGAATTCGGTACTTTTTCTGGTAAGTTTCATGCATGTTTGGTATGTCGATAAAGAAAGGGAGCAGAATTCGAGGAATTGCCCGCCATAAGGTTTGTATGGTTCTGCCAATTTCACTGCTTTTCGAGCAGAATCTGCCACCTTTTCGAGCAGAATCCGCCGGTCCCTACCCCCTCTCATTCCCTCTGTCGTCCACATGCATGTATCAAAGGAGGCGAAACAGCCTGTTTGTGGTGCAACGTTAATATACAAAAGTAACTTGCCGCTAAAGGGTTAAAATAAACTTCTACAACAACAACATGTTCTGCCAGCTTTGCCTTGGAGTCGATCTATCCTGAGAAGAAGGAAGTCTGCGACATTGTTGTTGCTGCTGCTGCTGTTAGTTTGGCGAACAACAAGAAATTGCATATCGGAGCTTCAAGCTTCGATAAAACAGTGTAATGCCAGTCCCAAAGGGACTTTCCCTTGCTCAAGACAGCACTTCAAATCGCCTTTATATAAAATAATTGATTTATGGAAATCGGCCCTTAACCTCCTCCTCGTTGCCTCTTTTCTTTGCTCAAGAAGAAGCATTGAGTAGGTTTAACCATCGCAAGTTCGCAACAACAGCTGGCGTATGGTGCTGTAGACTACATCTGGCTACTTTCTCTGTCTTGACTCATTCGTCAGACATGTGCATTTTGATCTTTTGGTTTGGTCTCTAATCGACAAACTGACTTTTCTCCTCAAATACCTCAACTTCTCTATTTCTATTTCAAACATCTGCTCCGTTTATTCCTTACTGTTTTCTTTCTATCTTTTTCTTTTCTTTCCCTTGTCATTTAATCACTGTCACTCACATACAAATACCGTCATAAAATATAGAACACAAGATTTTCTCATCTTTTTCTATTTCTTGTTTTTCATTAGCTTTAGCATGTTCATTCACATTCTTCATCATTTGTGAGAACTAGACCTGGTCTAGTGAGAAGGCATTCTACTGCCTGTAATTCTGGTGAAGTAAAATAAAGTACATGTAACAACAAGAACAAGAACTTACTCATGACCAGGAGGGAGTATAACGACTCCCTGGCCATGACATACACATACAGGGTACATGTATAATAATTATTATCCGTATTCGACAGGCCCCATTATGCCCGTACCATCAGCGTTGTATTAAGTTAACATGACATTCGCCTAGGTCACATTACGTGAACTACGTAGGCTTGGCTTCACACATACCCGTAGATACTCATCATAGGCATTGGCGGATAATGCTCGAAAAGGTGGCAGATTCTGCTCGAAAAGCAGTGAAATTGGCAGAACCACACAAACCTTATGGCGGGCAATTCCTCGAATTCTGCTCCATTTCTTTATCCACATTCCAAACACGCATGAAACTTACCAGGAAAAGTACCGAATTCTGCCAATTTTTCTGCCGGCATTATCCGCAAAGCCTACACATTATAGCCGTGCATACCATGGAGTACCTGTAAGTAAAAAAACTGCAGTGCTGGTAGTACATGGTGATAATGATACTATTGGTAGTGTCATTGCCGCCGTTGGGAGAGTTTTGGGACTTTTCCACCGTGCCAGGCATGTAGAAGCAGAGCTACCGGTACCGCACGGTACGACCGGGGACCGTCACCACAACTGGCTCCCTTCAGAGTCTGACCGAGATCCCTGCGCCTTGATCGGCTTGCCCCTGGCCCTGCACCATGTAGAGGAGACGGCTCGATACCGGAACGTTTTGACAGCCAAATTTGTATAGACCC